TTTGATGCAGCCCAGGATACAGTTGGCTTTCTGGGCTGCAAGCGCACACTGCCAGCTCATGTTCATTTTCTCATCGAGCAGCACCCCCAAGTCCTTCTCCGCAGGGCTGCTCTGAATCTCTTCTCTGCCCACCCTGTAGCTGTGCCTGGGATTGCTCCGACCCAGGTGTAGGACCTTGCACTTGGCATGGTTAAACTTCATGAGGCTGGCATCAGCCCACCTCACAAGCGTGTCAAGGTCCCTCTGGATGGCATTCCTTCCCTCCAGTGTATCAACCGAACCACACAGCTTGGTGCCATCGGCAAACTTGCTGAGGGCGCACTCAATCCCACTGTTCATGTCACCGACAAAGACGTTGAACAAGACTGGTCCCAACACCGGTCGCTGAGGGGCACCACTCGTTACTGGTCTCCAGCTGGACATTGAGCCATTGACCACAACTCTTTGTGTGCGGCCATCCAGCCAGTTCTTTATCCACCAAGTGGTCTACCTGTCAAATTGATGTCTCTCCAATCTAGAGACAAGGATGTCATGTGGGAAAGTGTCAAATGCTTTGCACAAGTCCAGGTAGATGACATCAACTGCTCTACCCCTGTCCATCAGTTCTGTAGCCCCATCATAGAAGGCCACCAAATTGGTCAGGCAGGATTTCCCCTTGGTGAAGCCGTGTTGGCTGTCACCAAGCACCTTGTTGTTTTTCATGTGCCTTAGCATGCCTTCCAGGAGAATCTGCTCCAAGATTTTGCCAGGCATGGAGGTGAGACTGACTGGTCTGTAATTCCCTGGGTCATCCATTTTCCCCTTCTTGAAAATGGGGGTTATATTTCCCTTTTTCAGTCGTCGGGAACTTCACCTGACTGCCATGATTCTTCAACTATGATGGACAGTGGCTTAGTGACTTCATTTGCCAGCTCCTTCAGGACCTGCGGATGGATTTCATTGGGTCCCATGGACTTGTGCACGTTCAATTTCTTAAGATTGTCTCGAACCAGTTCCTCTCCTACAGTGCGCCCAAGGTCTTCATTCTCACAGTCCCTGCATCTGCCTTCCAAGACTTTGGTGGTGTGGTCAGAGCATTTGCCAGTGAAGACTGAGGCAAAGAAGTCGTTGAGAACCTCAGCCCTCTCCAAATCCAGGGTAGCCAGTTCTCCTTGTAGCTTCCGGAGAGGGCCCACATTGTCCCTGGTCTGTCTTTTATTTGCAACGTACATATAGAATCCCTTCCTGTTACCTTTCACATCCATAGCCAAGTTTAATTCTAACTGGGCCTTAGCTTTCCTAACCTGGTCCCTAGCTTCCTGGACAACATCCCTGTATTCTTCGCAGGCTGCCTGTTCTTGATTCCACCTTTTATAAGCCTCTTTTTTCCTTTGAATTTTCCTCAGCAGCTCCTTATCCACCCAAGGAGGTCTTCTGGCCCTCCTGCTGCACTTCCTTCTACTTGGGATGCAACACTCCTGAGCTTGCAGTAGGTGATCTTTGAATATCAGCCAACAGTTTTGGGCCCCCCTGCCCTCTAGGGCTATATCCCATGGAACCTTACTAAGCAGGTTCCTTAAGAGGCCAAAGTCTGCTCTCTTGAAGCCCAGTGCAGTGAGCTTGCTGCATGCTCTTCTCACTGTCCTGAGAATCTTGAGCAGCCATCTCATGATTGCTCCATCCAAGGCTTCCCTGGAGCGTCACATTTCCAACGAGCCCTTCCCTGTTGGTCAGCACGAGGTCAAGCATGGCACCTCTCCTTGTCGGCTCCTCTATTATTTGTAGAAGGAAGTTGTCTTCCACACAATCAAGGAACCTCCTGGATTGCTTGTGCCGGGCCAGACTGTCCCTCCAACAGATACCAGGGTGGTTGAAGTCGTCCCCCATGAAGGCTGACTTTCAGTTGTTTTGTGTTAAAATTTACTCTGAATTCCTTCCTCCATTTCCTGATGCTTTTCTACCCAAAGGCATGGTTTGGTGGTAACTGTACTGTGCACATACTGCAAACTTGGGATATTTCAGACAATTGGAGATGAGTTGCAGCATGCCCACTCTTTTGAACTGCTGAGTCTGCTTTTGTATCTCTGCCATGCACAGCCGTGCACTACTGCCGTGTATATGCTGATAGTGCTGACAGCTCCTTTTTCTTACAAACCTTTTTTAGCATTAATAAAGACTGAGCTTTAGCAAGAACAGTCATGGTAACAATGTGACAAGCATACAGTGAATAGGAAATTAATTGGCTCAAGTTGAAATGTAGCTATGACTTGAGGCTTTTACTTGATGTCTCTTCTTGTATAACAATTACTAGCAAAAGAATTATTTAGAATCTGGAATATCTTTGCCTCAGCCTTTTCTAACAAAAACAAATCAAAATCATGGGGCAAAGTAGACTAAGGTACTGCAGTTGTGTTCTCACAAATTAATTCTGTATCTTAAGAAGGGATTTTTCACGAGTACTAAAAATGTCAAAACACTAGATTTTGCTCATAAAGAAGTACAATGTGGTGTTAGGTAAAACTTGTCTATCTCAATCTTTTAAACATTTTCTGTTTCTACAATAATTTTTAAATTGGAATTCTTTACTATTAAGTTAATGTTAAATACTGTTAAATTGTTTTTCACCTTTATACCCTTCTCAAAGGAAAAATGGATTTTTCATTAGTAAATACAAGTATTGACAGAAGATGATGTGGTTTGGCAGTCCCTGGGATTTTTTGCTAGCAAATAATTTGTTCATATTTCAAATGGTTAATGTGTAGATGATAAGATATGTGACATGGTTAAGTTTAATCTTTCACGTAAGGATCTAGCTCTATCCACAAACTTGTTAGATTTCTTTTCAGTTACTTTCAAGGTAATTGTTTTATTTTGTACTGGTTAGAAGCATGCTTGTAACTCCTAAACTAGGTGTCCTTGGGGGATATTAAATGTGCACTTATTCTTTATAGAATCATAGAATGATTTGGGTTAGAAGGGACCTTAAAACTCATCTAGTTCCAACCCCCTGCCATGGGCAGGGACAGCTTCCATTAGACCAGGTTGCTCCAAGCCCCATCCAGCCTGACCTTGAACACTGACAGGGATGGGGCAGCCACAGCTTCTCTGGACAGCCTGTTCCAGTGTCTCACCACTCTCATAATGAAGAATTTCTTTCTTACATTTAATCAATATCTGCCCTCTTTCAGTTTTAAACCATTCCCTTTTGTTCTATCCTACATGCCCTTGTAAAAAGTCTCTCTCCAGATTTCTTGTAGGCTTTTTTTAGGTATTGGAAGACTGTTAAAAGGTCTCCCTGGAGCTTTAGGTCCACCAGGCTGAACAAACCCAACTCTCTCAGCCTGTCTCTATATGATAGATGCTTCAGCCCTGTCATCATCTTTGTGGCCTCCTCTGGACTTACTCAAGCAGGTCCATGTCCCTTTTGTGTTGGGGTCCCCAGAGCTGTATGCAGCACTGCAGGTGGGGTCTCACAAGAACAGCCTAGAGAGAAGAGAGAATCACTTCCCTCGACCTGCTGGTTATGCTTCTTTTGATGCAGCATATGGTTGGCAGTATTGTTCCTCAGCTTAAATCAGAGATGCTGAGCCTGTTGGCAGAAAATGACTGCAGTCAACCAAAAAAATCTCCTTCAGCCCAAAATTCCTTTTTCCTCTATGTGAGGATAGAGCAGTGGGCAATGAGCCTTGTGGCTTGAGTCACTGCTGATATGCTTCACATGGGCAGCCTTCTCAAGCCATCATTGTTGTATTATGAGCTATGGACTGAAGTCGTGTATTTTGTCTGTTGCATGAAATTGGATTTTATGCATCATAAAAACAGAAATGTGCTCCAGATTACATGGTACGTCTGTCATGTGACTGCAGATGCATCAGTCTCATAAGTGCTATCTGCACTTAGATCATAAAGGATGTGGGACTAGAACATGGCATTCCATCTTTGCCTGTTTAAAAATCTTTTCGTGACCTGCATTTCTCTGTTTTTGTTGGAGTATATGTATAGAATTATATATATATATATATGTTGGAGTGTATATATTTAATTTTCTAGATTATATATATTCATTTTTTTACTTTCTTGATAAATTAGACTTAAAGAAGAAGAGATAGTAAATAAATGTAGGTGCTACTTCAGAATTTATTAGAAGTTTGCATCTTAATAATTCTTCTTTCCTAATTTACTTTCTTCTTTTTATCCAGTATATTTAAAGAATCATAGAATCATAGAATAGTTAGGGTTGGAAAGGACCTTAAGATCATCTAGTTCCAATCCCCCTGCCATGGGCAGGGACACCTCACACTAAACCATGCCACCCAAGGCTCTGTCCAACCTGGCCTTGAACACTGCCAGGGATGGAGCATTCACAATTTCCCTGGGCAACCCATTCTAGTGCCTCACCACCCTTACAGGAAAGAATTCCTTCCTTATATCCAATCTAAACTTCCCGTTTAAGTTTTAACCTGTTACCCCTTGTCCTGTCACTATGGTCCCTAATGAAGAGTCCCTCCCCAGCATCCCTATAACCCCCCTTCAGATACTGGAAGGCTGCTATGAGGTGTCCACGCAGCCTTCTCTTCTCCAGGCTGAACAGCCCCAACTTTCTCAGCCTATCTGCATAGGGAGAGGTGCTCCAGTCCCCTGATCATCCTCGTGGCCCTCCTCTGGACTTGTTCCAACACTTCCATGTCCTTTTTATGTTGAGGACACCAGAACTGCTCACAATACTCCAGGTGAGATCTCACAAGAGCAGACTAGAGGGGCAGGATCACCTCCTTAATTAAAGAGACTAATGCAGTTGCTAAGTCTTTGGCTTAATAAGTCAAACTTAACTTTCTCTAGGAAAAGGTACTTGATTCGGCAGAAAACATCAGTAACTTCTGCTCACCTCTTCTTGTTCTTGTGCAGCTTGATAGAATGTGGCTCATCATTGTCTGATATCTCATCAATGCTTTGTACAGTGGCATTAATACTTCTGTATGTGTAATAGAAGTATTTTTTTTTAACTTTGATTTTTACTTACCCCATTTTTTTTGTGTCTTGCTATCATTGTGATTTTATCTAGATTTTCCTCCTTTATTCCATCCAGTTTACAGCAGAGAATCATTGTTTTTCTTGAAAACGCATGCTCTTTCATTTTTATATAGTACCCTATTTTTGTTGTCCACAACCATTATTTCCTAGTATAATAACCTGTTTTTTTCTGAATTGACAATGCCTCTCAACACTGTCAGCAAAAAAATTTTCACTGGAATTTTTTGCATTGTGTTTTGTAAACACTATCTTTGTCCAAGAATGATTTGTATTTACTGCATTTGGTCAGGACAGAAGATACACGTTCAATTAAAACATATACACATAAACCTGTTGGATTCTTTTCTGCTCTTCAGTTATTGAAATACACATGAGGCAGTCTGAGGAATACATTCATAGAACCTGCAACCTGCACATATTGGTGCTTCCAAGTTTTTGTCACCTGGAATGCAAGGAAGGGAGAACACCAGTTGTCTTTCTCACTTTATAAACCCTGTAAAGGAAATAAATAATGCCCTGGTTTTATTTTGTAAAGCACAGCTTTAACTGTTCAGAGTATTTCTTCCCAGTCCTGTGTGTTGATGTTTCCCAAGATTTGTTTAAGTCTGTTGAGTGCTTTCCCTTAAAATATTTAAGTAAATATGTACTGATTTTTTTAAGTTCAGCCTTTATTTGAATTGGCAAAATGTTAACTGAATTTTTTTAATACCTTGAAGATTTTTTTAAAATATCATCAAAAGTAAATTCTTAAACTTTTTTTTAGTCCTGTATTTGCTACTGATCTTAATTTTTTAAGATGGAAAATTTCATTTTGGGCATGTCCATATTCTTCTGATGTTTAACTTCTAAGAAATACATGTCTGATGTAACTAGATATGATAGTTATAGGTTTCTTGCTGTCTTGAAATCACGTATTCTAAATCTGAAGGTTATTAGGCGATAACCGTAACATATCAGACACTGTACCAAGCAGCTAGTTAGCTTTCTGCTAATACATGCAGTATGGTCATCACTAGAAACTAATTAGAAAGCATTTTATTCTAAGGTAAATATTGTTTGGCTTTATAAATATTTTTAATAATTTTTATACAGTTTGCAGTAATGGAACAGCTACAGGATCCCATTATGCAAGAAGATGCAAATATTAAAGCTATTAATGAAGAGTACAGGAAAGCCTTTCTTTTTATTAATAAAGGACTGAATACAGATGAACTGGGTCAGAAGGAAGAGGCAAGAACTTATTATAAGCAAGGGCTTGACCACTTGCTCCGAGGAATTAGCATTCCATCACAGGGCCCTGCATGCATAGGGTCCCAGTGGGAGTCTGCTAGGCAAATGCAACAGAAGATGAGGGAGACCCTGCAAAACGTTCACATTCGACTTGGCATTCTAGAACAAAACACCCCACCTGTGCAAGCGAGTCCTGCTGTGATGGATGCCCCTGATGGGGTGCCCAGGTTGTACCCGTCTGTTCCTTCCAAAGAAAAGCCAGAAAGACCCCCTGCCCCTAATTCTCTACTTGTACCAAGTCAGCCACCTGCAGCAGATGGAAGTGTTGCAGCTGTGAGCCCAGGGCAAATTCCAGCTATGAGTCCATCTGCAAAACCTCTTTGTCTGCCAAATGAAGCACCTCCTGCCTATACTCCTCAAGCTACCAATGGCCATTTTACTGTGTCCTATGGCACAGACTCTGGGGAGTTTTCTTCTGTAAGTGAGGACTACTACAGCAAGTGTACTCAGCCACCTCCCCTTGAAAACCTGGGAGTGGATGCAGATGAGCTGATCTTGATTCCTCAAGGGGTACAGATATTCTTCGTGACTCCTGATGGGCAGGTTAGTGCTCCTTCATATCCTGGATATCTGCGCATTGTGAAGTTCTTGGATACGGATAGCGAGACGGCCCAGAATCGTCCACCTGCATTTCTTCAGGTAACAGGAAAATAATTTTGTCCTTTAATAAAATTTCAAGAGCTGTTACAAAATTTTAAAAGGCAATCATCTTTAAGTTCTTGCTCTGTGTGGTAGGATGTTGGAAAAAAGTTTTATGCAAATTCACATTTTTATGACTTTTTCTGCAAAAATTGTGTCTTTCCAAGGATGTCAAGTGCTGACTGTTTTGATGAATTCTGTTTTCTAAAGGAGCGTACTTAACTTTTCATAAAATTAACTTCCCTTTCCTCATTTAGAGAAGACATGTTGATTTGCCTGTGTAACATGTCAGTGTAAAACAGGGTGGTGCACTACCCACTTAACTCTCAACTAGTGAGAAGTTATTGCAGTTAGGACAACTGATAATTAGAAATTTGAGGGCCATATTAATCCAGACTCTGAACTGCAAATAAAGAAGGTGCATTATTTGCATTTTTATAGTCCATGCTTGCTTCATGTAAGCATGTTCTGTAACATACATTGTGTTTCTGGTCTGGTTTCTGACTTTGGATCTTCTTCTTGCTGCTAAGACTGGCTGCTGAAAGTCTCATCAGTGAAGGGGAAACTTAGAGGAACAAACAAAAACTTCTTCCTGGCTTGGGATCTCCTGTTTCACCTCCACCTGTGTTAGCAGTCTTCAACAATCGCTCAATGAAAGCCATGTCTTCTTTATCCTATCATATAAACCTGTCCTGAATCTGCAGGAAATTACAGGCCCTGTGAATCCTGACTTGTTTGGCAGTGCTTTTCATCTGCTTCTGTACCTGGGCCTTATCACTAGACCTTATTTAAGAGGCTACTAGCCCAAATTATAGTCCTGTGAAAATTAGTATTTTCTCTACATTAGACTGTCAGAGCAAATCAAGAATATTTCCATAGTGATAGGCTTTTTTTTTCTTGATTGCATACAGCTATTTTATTTTTCGTACTAAACAGAAGATCAAGTTTATGGTGCTTATCAGTATGTCCTACCTGGCTTTCTTTTTTAAAGCATCCTTTAATTCCTTTATGTACTTCTTGTTTCTAGGTCTGTGACTGGTTATATCCTCTAATGCGTGACCAGTCTCCTGTTCTGTGCTGCAATACTGGAGTCTACATGTTCCCTGACACAATGTCCCTGATACCGGGATCCTACGTGGGACTAGTACTGTCTTCAGAACTTCCAGCAGCTGACAGAGAGCTGTTTGAGGATCTCTTAAAACAGATGTCTGACCTTCGAATCCAGGTACATTTCTGGGCTATTTTAAGCTAATAAAGAGAGGTGTAAATGATCAATAAATTCTCCCGTTTACAGTTAGTTGTGTAAAACTGCGAAGTTCTGTTTCTTGCTTGGTAAGCTCACCAGAGAGAAACAGATAAAGTAGCCAAGATTAAGCAACCTAGTAATGAAACTGTAGGTCTTGTGAGATGGGAGGAAAGAATGTTTTTAATACTAAATAGTAAGCCCAGAGAGGAAATGGAGACCATTTTTTATATTTTCTCTATTTTTTCCAAAAGGTAACATAGAACCCAAATGGAATTTTGTGTTCAGAAGAAAACATGGTTGTGTAGTTTTCATGATACTGTTCTTGGAATATTGTGCTGAAATGTTTACAGTTCAGAAATGTTAAGGTGCTTCAGAGACAATCTGTGAAAATAGTGTGTACCTCAAAAACCTGCCTTCAAATGGGATCTCAGAACAGATAAATCTAGTGCCTTATTGCAGTAAGATACTGACTAATTAAAAAAAATAGAAAAAAACCCATAGTCTTAACAAATACAGAGTAAGAGAAAGTGACTAGAAACAAATGAAATATCTTACTATAAGAGCACTGGTGCACCATGTCAGGAAGAACAGTAATCAGTGACTACTTAAAAGCTCATAAGATTGTATCTTCTCATGAAAGATAGAATCTTGTTGAATCACCAAGATTTGAATGCAGTGATGATGCAGGACCAGTTTGCAGCATGCCATGTGGGCAGAGTTCTGCTATGGTATAAATCCTGTTGAGTTTAGCAGGGAATTTCACTAGCAAAAGAGGCCCCTAGTTTTTACTTAAAATGGAAAAGTAGTACAGAATAATGTGATGCTTCAGTGCAGGAATTAATGGGTAAAATCTGTTGGTTTTCCTGCTTAGAAGTAGTTCAAATTTGGTATCTCATTAGTTCCTTGTCCTAAAATTCCATGTTTTTATTAATGTTCCCTGATACAATGTCACAGGTGCCAGGATCCCATGAGAGAGTAGGGTTATCTTCAGAGCTCCCAGCAACTGAGAGAGTGCATTTTGAAGATAAATTTAAACAGATGTCTGGCCACAAAGTCCAGGTAAATTCTAGGACAGTGATTCCAAATTTTATTAGTAAAATTGTCACTGAACAAAAAAACATGGCTTTTTTATACATGTTGGAGCTGTTGAGCTTTCAGACTCGATAGACAGCTGCAGTGCATGCTGTGCCCTGTAGGGCTTGGGGTTTTTTGATTGTTTTTTTTTTGGTTTGGTTGGTTGGTTGGTTTGTTTTTTTTTTTATTTTTGTTAGTTTGTTTTTCTGTTAAGAGCTGGTTCAGTTACTGCAGGCTACCACATTTTGCAGATCAGCAGATTTCTGGAGTCTTAAAACTTGTGATATAGCACAAATATTTCAATGCCTGGTCTGATGGCCATTTAATATGTCTATTTTACATAGTACTCATGAGGGTCTAAGTAACAACTATATTTAATGTAATTATAGTCCTGAGTCACCTGTCTTACCAGAGAATCCATTTCTGCTCCTTAGGATAGTTCTTAGAAGTCTTGTTAACTGTTTTTCTACACCAGGCTGTGGTGTAGCTAAGTTATATCTGGAACATAGTTTTGGTTTTTTTTTTTTTTTGTTGTTGTTGCTTTTCTTCTCCTGCCCAGCCTCCAGAGGATTTTGGTCACAGGCTAAAGACGTTTCTTGAACATGAAATTTCACACTGCTGTCAAGCAGTAACTGATGATACAGTACTTGTCAGCAATAGATTGTTAACCTTCTGGGTGCAACCTTCTAAGTCTTAATCTACTCTTTTCTGTTAATGTTGGGTTTATTTTCTTTTGCTGCAACAGTCATCTTTGTGTGATACTCTGCTTTTAGTCCAGTAAATATTTGTGGGAAATCTTAAGAATTCCATGTGATATCAAATACTATTCTATATTGTGTACTCTATTCTGCTTATAGTTTCCATCTAAGAATACAGACTCTTCTAGACTAAACAAAAATATTTTTTCTTTCTATCCATCATTAACCAGCAGTGTTTCAATTGCTGAAATTTTTACTTTTATATTAGAATAATCCTAAAATAGAATCTCAACAAAAACCTAAATTACTAATTTTTTTTTTTGCTTTCTGTAATTTAAGTTTAATTATACATTCTTTGTGAACTGTCTAAAGGGATGTTACACTTTTTAGAAACACTAACCAGACTGTGGTGGTGGTTTGTATGTTTGAATGATTAACACCTACTCCAGAAACTCCAGTGTTTGACATGAAACTATACAGAACCCATCCATCCAACTTTAAATTTGGAGCAGTATCATGCACAGCTTAATGTGTTCCTTGGCTGTGCCAGTCTGCAAAAACATCAACAGCACATATGATGAATAATCTCCTTTATTTTTACATTTTGAGGAAAGGATGAGGAGCAAAACAACCAGAACAGCTGCATTCTTTTAATGCAGCTGTATTCTGTGACCAAAGACTTAAGTTCCCATATTGAATAACAGAGTTGACTTCCCTCTGAGAAGATAAAAATGATAAAAGACAAGTCTCATCTTTTGGCAGTGTTGGCAAGCGCATCTTTTTGTTACTGGATGAAGAAAGCATACAGAAAATGCTGAACTTTCTGATAAGCTTTTTTGAATGCACAGCTTATCTGTGCAAAAGTAATTGCATCACAAATTTCCCTTGAGTTTCTGGGCACTGACCCGAGGAATGCACAACATTAACATGATTTGATAACGCGTTTGTATGATCTAAAACAGAAATCCTGATGATAATGTTGCAAATTAGATTCTCAGGTGTTTACTTTCCCTTTTTAGCCTTCAGATACCTCTGGTGATGCAATTAACTTGTCTCAGACTGTACGGATTGAACCACAACCTGAAGGAGCAGAAAATCAGAAAGAATTGCCAGAATGGAGTGAGAAAGTTGCCCATGGAATCTTGTCAGGTACTGTTGTAATAAGGGGATTGTGTTGAATATGAACTGCTGTGAGTAACCTTTTTAATGGTATTTTCACCTAAATCCATGTGGGCTGGTAAAAGCTGAGTGGTCAGAAGTAGTTGTTCATCAGTTCCGTTTGTGATCATCTAATGTATACTTCGAGCTTTATGAAAGCAGTGCAGAATTTAAATCCGTTGCCAACAGTCTTGCTTATTGCAAATGAGGTAGGCTTCTCATTTGAGTAAATACTAGGATTTAAATGTTACTCAAACCACTGAGACAGAACAATTTTACTCCTGTACAAGCAGTTATATTAAACCAGGCATGTATCTGCAGATAAACTGTTGTGGTTTTTTTTCTTTGAGAAACTCTGGAAATACTAATGAATATTCACTGATTGTAATAAAGATGAATCCGCTAGGAAGACTAGAGAGTTGGGTTGTGTGTTTTCAGAAGGTAACAGCAGCGAGATATGCAGTTCTATCACTTCTGACCCAGCTGCGGCTTGGATATCTATCAAAAACAGAGTATCTGTATTAAGCTGAGGTTTGGATGAGGGGTGGCTGTATTAAACTTCAGTAAAGTGAACTTAAAAAAAGTGGGCCATGTAGGAGAAGAAAACAGCTGCAGGAATTCATGGTGGCCTGTTCAGGGAAGATTATCATTGCGGGCTGTGTTTCAGGAATGTTTCCAGTGTTGCAGAGGCAGAGGAGGGAAAGCTGTAGGAATTGTAGTCTGTGAAGTTGTATATTGTAAGAAAATCAATTTTTGCCTTGAAGGTGCATCTTGGGTAAGCTGGGGCCTAATAAAAGGCGCAGAATATACTGGTAAAGCTATACATAAAGGAGCTTCTAAACTGCGAGAACACATCCAACCAGAAGAAAAACCTCTGGAAGTCAACCCAACTGTAGCAAAGGGACTTCATGTAGCAAAGCAGGCTACTGGAGGAGCTGTGAAAGTCAGCCAATTCTTAGGTAAAAATTTGCATCTCATAGTATATTATATTTTTGTCTGAATAAATATTCTGTAAAATGAGATCTGGTTTCTCTAGCCAATAAACTAGAGAAGGGACTGATCCAATGAAATCCAGAGATCAGTAGTTTTTGCCTTGTTATCTCCTGCGAGTGACATGTTTTAGGACTAATGTTTATTATTTGGCCTTGAGGCATCCTTTTCTTTCCTAAAAGAATATACTGTACAGTCTTAAAGTTTAAAAGAAAATTGTGCTGGATGTTATAAAACTACTCTGAAGAGCTGGAGAGATTGTAAGAAAGGCTTTTCCAGAAGTCAGGGCAGAGAAGAAACAGCATGTTCCCTATCTGCGATAGGGATTGGGGATAACAAAACAATGGAAATGGTTTCTTGAAATTTGAGTGTGAGACTAGTGTGTCCTTTGAAGTGCTGTTTAGCCATACTTGTTTCTTAGGAATTGGAGCTGAATCTGAAATTAAGAGAATCTGAAAAATAAGATTGCTTCTGTATCAATTGGGTACTTAAGCATGGATTGAAGCCTGTCATTGAAATAAGCATATTAAATAGAAGCAACACTGAGCACTTCAGTGTGCTTCTAATTAGATGTAAGGACCTTTAAAGGAAGATGTTCTATGTTTGTACTAAATAATATGCATACTATTATTTTGTGGTAGTCGAGGGAGTCTGTTCCATAGCAAGCTGTGTTGGGAAGGAGCTGGCTCCACACGTAAAGAAGCATGGCAGCAAATTAGTTCCAGAGTCCCTCAGGAAAGATAAAGACGGCAAATCCACATTGGATGGTGCTCTGGTGGTAGCAGCAAGTGGAGTTCAAGGTAATAGAAATCCCATATGCTTTTTTAATTGCATACTTTTCAATGCTGTGGACTCAAATAAGCTGATCATTTTTACAGGGTTTTCAACAGTGTGGCAAGGTTTAGAAAGTGCAGCGAAGTGCATTGCTAAAAGCGTTTCAACTGAGACTGTAAAAACTGTCAAATACAAGTAAGTTATGTTTTTATTGTTTTTATGTTCTACAGAGTAGAACATTGTGTTTGATTACTGACAAAAGAAAAAAAAGCTTACAAATTGCAGGGAAGGTGACTGAAGTACCAGCTTTGCTCTAATTATGCAGCACATGATAAGCTGCTAAGTGCACAGTAATGAGCATCTCCTGTAAGTAAAAATATGAAATGAGTAAATGATTGTGGTTTTTTAAGCTCTCTTCTAGAAGCATTATAACTTCAGGCTATGCTATAAATAATGTTCAGTTATGTGTCTTTGTGCTACAGTATAATTTCATTATGAAAAAAGTTACTGATTCAAACCTCTCAGCTCTGATCCTGAATTTATGTAAACTTAGTTAAATTTAAGAGAAATGGAAGAACTTCATCTCTTGGCAGGTCTGGCTAAAGGAAGTAGGTACAAAAAAATTTGTGTAAGGAAATCTAAGGCATTAATAGCAATAATGAGATAGTCTCAACTTGCAAAATACAGATGTTCTTAGAAAAAGATAATGGGGAGAGAGGGTAGTAACATTTTAGATTAAGATGATGTTGGTAAAATGATAGACCAAGAAGGAGTGCCTGTACTGAAAAATGCAGTCAAGAATACAGGAATATATTGAAATGACTGCAAAATGCGCTCCTCAAAAAAAGTGCAGTAGGTATAGTTGAAAGTGAAGAGCCAATGAACATGTAGGTTAAGTGACATCGGTGGTAAGTGTAGCGAGAGATGTTCAAAAGGATTGCTGGAAGTGCATAGAGTACTAGGAGAAGGTAACAATGTAAACATGAGCATATAGCATTAAATGGATTGGCATTCAGGGTTGTGTTGTGATGTGTTAAAATAGAAGGCTAAATAATGAAGTTCTAGTCAGTGGTGCCTTATTGCTAACATTTGTGTTCAGTAGGAATTCTGGGAGGTATTGTACTGGTACTTGTTTCGCATAAATTCACATTAATGTTTTTGTTTTAGATATAAAGATAGGAAATACGAAGATCAACAGCCAACAGCCACTAAGAGTGAAAAACAATAAGTAATTAAATGTTGCAGTTAATTACAATTGAAAATGCTTCAGATGTGATCTTTAAAATATATATATGTGTGTGTGTGTGTGTGTGTATATATATATATATAAATACTCTGTCTTTTGGAAGCTGGCTTTTGTTTTGGTGACAAAGATATCTGCCCCTCAAAGTACTCCAATGAATGAGTTAAATTCCACAAAGCTAACAAAGCATCACCACAATGTCTCTAAATCAACAACAAAATCAGCTAAAACTTAACTGCACAACCTTTGTGGATGGAATTATAAAGAGATCCTCATCGTATATGCGTGTTGATCAGAACTGGGGGAAAATGTAGCTTTGGAAGTAATATTTCTGCCAAAGAACCATGCTACTACCTTGGTGGGGGTTTTACGACAATTTGAACAACTGCAGTATCTACATCTACCCAACTTTTTTCTTAGAACAGAAAAAAAAAACCAGAAAGTTACAAATTATGCAGTTGAGACAGGCAAACTGAAAAATTAGTTAACATTAAGAAATTGTTAGTCTGAGTGTATTGGATAAGATGCAGCCCTACTTTAAATGATTTTACTGTTGTTATCTAAAACCGACTTGTGATGTTCCTTAGGCAAATATAATTAATCAAATTGAAAAATTATGGAATTTTTGCTGTGGGATTAAATCTGTGATCTGCAAATCCAATGTTGGTGATTCAAGGCTCTATCGGAGAATTAAAAGCAGAACAAAAACGCACTAAGTTTTTTTATTCTATTTCATCGTTGGTTCCAGCCATTATGCCATGGCTTGTACTGATAATGCGATAAATTGTTTGATTTTTTGATATTTTGTGCTCCTTTCTGGCCTTATTTTGAGATTCTCAAAAAACCTCTGGTCATAAGAAGCTTAGGGAAAAAGTAATTCTGGGATTCTAATGCTGCCAGAAATACTGCCCTTTGGCCTGGTTTGTGTGAATACAGTGCTCTCTGGGGAAATGTCTAGCTGCCCAGAACAGTTGGAGTTACTGCTTTCACTATACTTTTGTCCCTTTCAGTATTCTCCCTCTACTGGTGTAGATATGTATCTTTCTTCACAGCTGAGTAATTAATACGAGACTTCTGAATTGCCCCTTAAAGCATAAAGAAGCTGGACCCACAGCCCAGTGTAGATACCAGAGGTTTTCTCTCTTAGTAGTTTTCATCATATCCTCAAGGTTGCTTTGAGCCTTCTGGGGTTTTGTGTGACTTCTGCCTGTATCTTCCCCTTCCCCTTTGCCACTGTATTGATTAGAGGTTACTTCAGATAACTTCACTGCACAGTGGAATTTTTTTGCAGGGACCTTGCTACCTCCAACATATGAGCATAACTGTGTCAGCACTTCACTGTACCAAGAAGACCTGTTAGACTGTGTGGGTTAACTTACTTGAGCATGGTTGTGCACTACCTCAGTGAGTCTGCTTTTGGGACTTTGAACTAGCATGCCAATGTGTTGCTGTTACACCAGACATAGCATCATGTTATGCTATGTACAACAGGTGAAGGTGACACAGGACAAGTACTAACCAAGCACTATGATGGCAGTGGTGGTACCAGCTGAGGAAAAAATATGCCTGAGGTGATTCCAGTCCCTTTTTTCTGTAACAAGTGAGAAGGCAGGACAGTATTTGCCCTCCCTTCTCAATGTTGCCACCCATGGTACAGACTGAGAAGGTTTAGCAGCTGTGGGCCTAGTTGTGAGGACTTACAGGGGATAGGACTTACAGGGATATTTACCTAAGAACTTAGGTGGAAAAGTACTTGGGGGGGGGGGTATTGCATACAACTTCCCCCCTTATGGTTATGCAGATAAGCATTCTGTTTTTCAAAACTAGAGAGGAAGGAAGGAGAAAGACTGGAAGGTTTTATGAGGAAAAAGTGAAGAATCATATTGGTAATCCATCTGATAGAGGAGCAGCCCTTACTCAAATGGCTTGGTTATTTCTAATTCTTTATACATTCAGGCTGTGTGATTATTATTTGTTCTTGGCAATGCTTAAATTTTTGTTTTCAAACAAATTCCAGTGAAGATTAAAATAGTAAGTATATCAATCTACAAAACTGCTGTCTTTCTTTAGGTATGGAGATGATGCTGGCCATGCTACAGACAATGCTATGAATTCTGCAATCAATGTTGGTGTGACAGCATTTAACATTGACAATATTGGTATCAAGGCTGTTGTAAAGAGAACTGCAAAGGAAACCGGACATGCTGTGTTGGATGAATATAAAGTATTGGATAATAAGAAGAAGGATAAAAAATGAAAGCATTGAAATAGTTCTCAAAGCCTTACATTAGAGATGAAACTTCCTATTTAGAAGTCACTACATTGCTAATCTGCAATTTAACACAAATCACGCTGTACTTTTCAATCAACTGTTACTTAATTTGATATGGAAATTTAATAGTAGGAAGGGTGTTTATGCAAGGAAAAATGAAAATTGTCTTAATTCCTTGTTGGGTATTGAACAAGGGTTTTAAACAACTGAATCAGAGCTTTAGACAATGGGACAGATAATGAGTTTGCAGTTAATAACTTGCCTCTTTAAGCACTTTTTCAAAATATAAAATGAACTAGATTAATATAGAAATACTGTTGTGAATATTTTTGGAATCCTTTATATTTGTGAGGAAGGTAGTGATACAGAAACAAATAGGATTAATAATTGCGGAACAAGTAGGATTTCTAGTTTCATTTTTTAACTGTTCTGAAGAGTTAGTTTTACGAAACCAGCCTTGTCTTATTTAATATGCACTGCTAAAATAAGCTTTGTGTTTCATTGTTTTGTAGAGAATTTCCTTTTTTGGCTATCAAACAGCTAATCTTATCCAAAGTTCATGTTAGAAGAAGTGAAAGATGAGCCTCAGGTAACTAGGTATTTATTCCCTTTAAAACTTTTTTTTTCTTTTTTCATCCAGCATATAAGCAAACCAAAGATATGAAGCATCTCTAGTAAAAGAGGGTATTTACAACTGTAGACAAATGTATTCTTTAGTTGGCTCCATAAGGAATATGCAAAGATTTTTTTGAGATTTTTATGTAAAGGATGAGTATATTTTTGCGTATTTTTCTTCTGTGAAAACAGAAAATTCTATTATTATTCTATAGAGGACACTAGGAACTTCTATGCATTCTGTATTTTTCAGCCAATTCAGAAAGATGCAGAGTATATACTATGGCCTCCTAATGGCAGATACAGAATCACAGAACCTTAGACTGTTTGGGTTAGAAAGGACCTTAAGATAATTTAGTTCCAACCCCCCTGCCATGGGCAGGGACACTTCCCACTAGACCAGGTTTCTCAAGGCCCTGTCCAGCCTGGCTTTGAACACTGCCAGGGATGGAGCATTCGCAGACAATATGTATTTGCTTCAAGAAGTAGTTCTAACAGCATCTTTATTCCGTTAAATTCATAGTTGCACAAGGTTTGTCTTTAAAGGGTATGAAGACAAGCCCTCTTAATGGAGAGGTGTGTGGATGAGAATAGACATGACTGTGTAGGTTATCCTGTTCCTAGTGCAGTGTGAAATAACTCCATTTGTAGAACCATTGAAATGCTTTCACACTGTTTATTTAACAGTTCACTGTTGAGTTTCAAAGCTGCTACATATTCTAATATTGGCTGAATCTGTAGCAAGCAGAACTCTTATCACTTGAAAACTTATCTCCATTTCATGTGGAGAAAATAACTATAATTTGTTGTTAGCAAATGGTATTTGCATCACATTGGAAAAAATAAATAACTAATGCTGTTAGAATGGTAATAGATGCACATTTTGTAGTGGCTACTGTAGGTGTGTACTTAGGGTGAGAAATGTGAAAAAAAGGATCTAACCACTTGAAGTGTAATGATTTATGGAAATAAAGATGTCAAAGTTGGTTAATCTGTGCTTGGCTTTTTTATGACGTGAAGCTACTGTATGGATCAGTGAGTGGAAAGACTAGGACTTCTGAAGTAATAAAAGAATAGTATTAGGGTATGTGTACAATAGAAACAGGCTCATCAGTTAGAACTTAAAATACTTCAAATTAAAAATGCCCATCAAAAGCATACTGCAAGAAATTTCTGTTACTACAGACTGTTACTTGCCAGCAAGTGTAACCAGTTTAAGACTACTAAAGGTTCCATGCTAGCAGAAGCATTTTTGTTGTTATGGGCTGCATTTACAACAGGAATGTATGTATTTGCATCTTTCTCATATTTTGGTTTTGCATATACTCATACCTTTAGTTTCATCTGTAAACCATCAGAACCACAAGTTGTATTAAAGCAACAGTTAAGATTGAAGTGTTCAAGTCTTCAAGAGACCAAGTTGTAGCAAACTTAGGAAAAAGGTTTAAATGCCATCCCTATCACGCAAGCATTATTGTCCTGTTCAACCTGCTATTCTCTTCACGTGTACTCAGTCTTTCATATTTGTTTCAAAGTAGATTAAAGTTGGTTGCTTTTTTTTCCACTAATGCCTACCCTATTTTACAATTTTTAATGTGATACATCCATGATATTTCCTTTTACATTGTTCCAAAATTTAATTAATTTCCCCCTCTCAAAGTAGTATAACTCACAACTTACCCTGCTTCAGCTGTTACTGCTTGGGCCCTGGGCAGCAAATCCATAGGCTTCTCCCCATTTCCTCTACCATAAACAACACCCTTCACACACTTCCTACCTTACCTGTTCTCTTTATACACTATAGGCACTAAGCTCTTTAAGCCTTACATCTTAGGTTGTTTTCTGTTGCCAGCTTGGTTTTGTTCCTTCTTTGAACACTGAACATCACTTAATGTATGGCAGTCCTAGAAGTAGTCTTACTAGCCTGTTTATTGAGTGAACCACTACCTGATTTCCTAATGCATTCCTATTTCCAAATGAATTTATTTGAAGTCTTGTGCTAGAATAGTGCTCTCTGATCTCGTCTTGAGAATATTACTTCTGATGACCTCTAAGTCATTCTAAGCTATTGCTCTCGCTTGCACCTTCATCGTTCCATGGGTATAAACCACTGTTTTTACCTCGAGTTTAAACCCCTGCATTTGAATGGATTCCTCTAGATTCCAAGGTTGGCAGGTTGGTTGCTTAGTTTAATTCTGATTTAAAACCATCTTGGAATAGCCTATTTCTTAATATTCCCTGACAAACTAAATCTGTAATCCTTTAAAAAGAATTGGTAAAATTACCTTCCAGTAAAACATGCTGACCAGCTCACCATAGAATAACGTAGGTTGTAAGGGAGCTACAGAGGTCTGTAATCCATCATCCTTCTCAAAAGAGGTCCAGCTGGAGCACAGTACAGAACTGTTTTGATTATCTCCAAGGATGGGGACTTTACAGCCTCTCTGGGCAACCTTTGCCAATTTTGACTCTGGTAAAGGTAAATATTTCTCCCTTACACTGGGGCAAAAATTCTTGTATGTGGTCAGACGTGGTGCTGCTTATCCTTCCGTACTGCACATTGGATACAAGTCTGGCTGCTTCATCTCCTAGACACCCTCCTCTTACATAGTTGTCAACAACACTAAGATCTCCATATGCTTTCTCCAGGCTGAACACAGGACATGGGTGGCAGCCCTAAATCTTAAGCACTGCAGCATGTGGTCCCACAAGTGCTGAGGGGAAGAAGAACCACCTCCCTCAACCTCTTGTCCGTGCTTTTGCTAATGCAGCCCAGGAGGCCATTGGTCTTGTCTACTGCAAGATGTGTTGCTGGCTCATGGTCACCTTGTTCGCCAGGGACACGTGTCCTTCCCTATGAAGTTGCATTCTAGTTACTGCCGCCAGCCTGTACTGATTCAAGGCTTTTCCCATCCTAAATGTTAGACTGCATTTGCTTTTTATTGAGTTTCATTAGGTTCCTTTCAGCAGCCTGTTTCTCCAGGCTCTGAATGCCTTCCTGCATTATGACTGCTCCCCTCAGTTCATCATCTTTGGGAAACTTGCTGAGAATGTGCTTAGTCTTCCAGGATGTTAAAGGTATTGTCTCAGGTATTGATCCCAGAGTCAAGCAGTCATACTGCTGATCACTGTACTTTTAAGCCTGATGGCCCGGTTAGTTTTCCAGCCACCTTATTTCCCAGTTACCCAATCTACAACTTGCCAATGTGGCTATAAAGGTACTGCGGGAGACTCCTTGGGTACAGTCAAAATCTACAATATCCACCGGTTGCCCCTTGTCCACAGAGCCAGCCATCATACCCTTGTTACTGATACTACAAGAATACTAGCTCTTTGTAAAAGTTGATATATGTCATAATCCAAATGTCTGTCTTCAGCAACTGGTGTACTTTGCTTTTAAGCAACTCCAGCTGTTTATTGCCTTCGTGTAATCTGAAGATATGAATTTAAGTATAAAATTCTGTTTTCAAACTAATCTGTGTCATGACCAAGTTTCCTAACTTTTCTTAGTAAAAATTTTAATCTCAGAGCATTAATGCCTTAAAACAATGACAGTACATTTATAGGTATCCATGTATCCAATTTTAACTACTTTATTTGCAATAAAGAAATGGAAGAAAAATCTCATGTGTTGCAATTTTCACTGTTACTGCCATGCTTGTTAAAAATGTTGATGGTTCAAGGTTTTGCCTACTCACAAGACCTCTCCACAAGACACTTTTGCTCTATTGTCACTGCAGTTCCTGAGCACACAGTTACACCCACTGTCCTTGTCCTGGGTTCAGCAGTAGCAGTCATGTTTCTCCTTGGTAGCTGGTGCAGTGCAGTGTTTTGACTTTCGGCCTGGGAACAGAACTGATAGCGATGTTTTGGTTTGGCCAAGGACTTTGTGAGCCTCATGCTCTACCAGGGAGGAGGGAAAGCCGGGAGGAAGCAGAGACAGGACACCTGACCCAAACTGACCAAAGAGGTATTCCATACCACAGCACATCATGCCCAGGAGGTAACTGGGAGTTAGCCGGAAGGGCTGGGAGACTGCAGGGTTGGAGGAGGTACCGGTCGGAGCTTGGTCGGGCTGGATGGGGGGTGAGTTATCGGTCGGCTGGTGGTGAGGTGATGTATTCTCTTCCCTTGTTATTTCCTTTATCATTGTTATTATTGGTGGTAGCAGTAGTGATTTGTGTTATACCTTAGTTACTAAACTGTTCTTATCTCAACCCGTGGGAGTTGCATTCTTTTCGATTCTCCTCTCCGTCCCTCCAGGAGTAGGGGGAGGAAAAGAAGAAGGGGGAGTGAGTGAACGAGCCCTCTGCCTGGTTTCAAACCACGACAGTTCTTTTGTATCCCTGACTCCATTAGCTGAGGGGTCGACCTCAAGTCTCCCCTGGAGTTGCTTCAACCAAATTCATGGCTCAAACCTGAACCCAGGACAGTCCTGCACCAGCCCAACCAGCATGGTTTGGGCTCATCCTTGTAAGTGCACTGCGACCTAGCTCCTGAGAGCTCACCTAGTTAGGACACCTAGTAATCCTTGAGTTCAGTGTGGGGATCTGGAAGTATCCTGGAGGGACATCAAAGAAATCTCCTGAGGCAGAGAGATTACACTGTGGCCAGGGTACAGCCCTGTGCTTTCTCCTCTTCTGACTTCCTGGTGATACCAGGGCTCGCTCTACGTTCTCTGCGTGTGCCCTCCAGCTGAGAATTAGCATGCTGGTGTAAGTTGATCTTGAAGCAGTTCTTCACAAAAGCTGGTAACACGAAATACGGCTACTGATTAGTACTTTTGCTGCTAAGATGCAGTACACCCAGGTAGTTATGAATGCTAACCTAGGTCCAAGTCATTACTTAAGTTATTGGTTTCGTATGGAAATTGTTTCCAATAGGTATCTCAAAAAGCAGCATTCGGTAAATAATGAAGGCAAAACGAGCAGCTAAATTTAAATGCAGTTATAGTGGAGCACTTTTCTAAAATTGTTTCTTGATTAAAGTATTTCAGACAATTTTGAACTCAAACCCCACCTCAAGTCATAATTCACTGATTAGATGATACCATCAGTTATGAGACTGTCAAAAATCACCTCCTGCTCTAATATATATCAGACAAGTGAAATTAAAATGACTTCTTCTCACTCTCCATCCGTATGTTCTACCCACATACAACGTAAGGCACTAGATCCTCCTGGATTAGTGACCCTGCTGCTGTTGTGGTATCAGCACAACTCGGGCAGACTGAAGGACACAGCGCACATCTTGGCTGGGGAGGTGAGGGCCATGCCGGCTGCCTGGCCCCCAGCACCCCTCTCCGCTTTCCCTGGGCTACGGGAGAGCCACAGGGGCCGGGGAGGCTGGGGTGGCCCATCCCGGCTCTGGGCACACCGCGGCGGCGACGGCAGGGCAGGTCACGCCCCTCCCTCAGGTCTCTGCCGGGCGCTCAGCGGCCGTCACCCCGCGCAACGGCGGCGACATGGCGGAAAGCGGAGGCCGCCGTGCGGCAGAGCGGGACGGCTTGGCGCTGGAGCTGGGCCGAGAGAGGCGGAAGAAGTGAGTGCCCGGCGGCGACGGGGCTGAGGCCCGGCCCTCACCGTCCCGCTGCTCCGGGAGGCGCCCAGGGACTCCCACCGCCTCCCTGCAGCAAAATGGCGGAGGCTGCGGCTTACGGAGAGCGGCGGTGGGTCGGGCGTTGGGTCCCCGACCGCAGCTCTGCTGGGAGCACGGACGGGGCGGTGGGGAGGTGTGCGGTTAACAGGGCACGGTGAGCAAGTGGAATTGCCGGCCAAAGGGTTGGCACTAGCACAAGGAGCCTGGAGAAGTAGGGTGAATAATTTTAGCCAAGAATGGGACTGATACAGTCAAGGAAAATGGGACTGGGCATCGTGGTTTAGCTGCAGTAGGCAGCTGAACACCACGGAGCTGCTTGCTCAGTTCCCTTCCAGCGGGATGGGGGAGAGAATCAAAAGGGTGAAAGTGAGAAAATCTGTGGGTTGAGGCAAAGACAATTTAATAAGTAAAGAGAAAAAAATGAAAACTAGAAACAAACACAAGAAAAACAAATGATGACAAGAAGCCTGGCTGCTTACCAGCAGCTGACCAATGCCAATCCCAGGCAGGACTGCCATGGCAAACTCCACCACCCCCAGTTTCTTTGCTGAAGATGACATGACATGGTCTGGGATATCCCTTTTGTCAGCTGGGGTCAGCTGTCGCAGCTGTGTTCCTTCCCAATTCATTGTGCACCCCCAGCCTGCACAATGGCAGGTGAGAAAAGGCCTTGGCTCAGCAGTAACTAAAACATCCCTGAATTATCAACACTGTTTCCAGCACAGATCCAGAACAGTACCATACCAGGTACTGTGAAGTAAATTAACTGTAGCCAAGCCAAATCCAATCCACAGAGATTGGAAGCCACGATGGGGTAAGAACAGAAAAAGTCCTTATTTGGAAGCATGCCCTTTGGGGAGAAGAAGGATCAAATGGGCAATGAGGTGCTCTTTATATGTGCTTTCTTCCACAGTGTTGAATAAAACTGGAAAACTGGATTTTGGTCTTCTCTACTATCAGTAAATATCTCTGAAACCTACATGGAAAGTATGGGCATCTCTCTGGTGCAGTTTGCAGAGAATATGAGGACTTGTTACTGGTACCAGTTAGTTCCCTTGCTTAAGCAGCAGGTATTTCAGTGCCCTGATGATTGTTAATGCTTGCACAGCAGTGGGATTCTAGGTTGGGGGTTTTCCCACTTTGCTTTGGAAGTTACACATTTCCCCCGTGTTAAAGAACATGATTGCCTTTTGAATGTTAATGTATTAAAAGTTAGAAAATGTCAGAAGCTCCTGTGCTGCCATAAATCAGACCCTTAATATTTACATTTCCATACCATTTTAAAACGTTCTATTCCATACACATTTCCCCCCCGGACAATGTTTTTTTTTCAGTGTCTGGACTGCAGATCTCTTAAAACTAGTCCTGCAATTGCAGACTTTATAAAATGTTTGTTCGCTACTGGAAATGGGGAAAACAATATTAACAGAGTCAAAATGGGTAGGCAGCTTCTGCATTCAAAATGTCACAGAAAGGAGGTTGGACATACCCGCACCAATGTTTAAGCAAATGCCCTTTTACTAAGTCTCCTAAACTCAGTGTGTCGATATTTCAGTTATCCTCTGCACGCACCAAGTCTTTTACTTTGACATGTGAGCCTGATATTATGGGAGTTCAGGTAAAAAGCAGAATGGTATTTGCTTTGTTTCACTGCTAAGATTTTTTTTTTTTATTCTTTTTTTTTAATCAATGAAAACCTTGATTCTTCATGTACCTTAAATTCTTGCTAATCCCTGAGAATATTCTGCAGGATTGGGCCCGAAGTCCATGACATCTTATGAATTGATGACTTATTTGCTGATAAAAGAAAAATATATATTTAATTAAAACCTTTCTTGTGATGGTGTGACCGTAAGAGACTTACTGCTCCAGGTGGATGCTACAACTGTTTCCCGTCTGTATCTTCTGTGTGCAAATAGGCAATACCATTATTGCTGATTTTTCAGAAGTTATTTATTCAACCTGTTAATGACCAGGCTTGTTAGACAGGTACATCTAAACCAGTGGCATGTGTAGTCAATGACACAGAAAAGCTCTTTGAAGGTGTGATTCACCTGACCTACTTTGGCTGGCTGTGCTGGTATGAGATGGCTCATGCCCTAGGAGGTGCCTGTTTCTCTCCATTGGGTATAAGGCCAGCTAAGGGTGGCTGGCTTGCAGATGCCTTCATTCCTTCACAGCCACCTCACCCTTGTTGTCTTTTCACTGGCTTATTTTATTATTGTGCCATTTAGGCAGTTTGCTGACAGCCCACCTACCACTCATTTAACACTGCTGAAGAAGAGTTTTTTACTTCAAAAAGTAAATTGAATCATCTATTGTCTGTAAGGGGTCTATACCTAAGGTACCTGCTGATGCTCAGTGATAGTGGATGTAGTACTGTGAAATCTTTCAAAGGCTTTAATGAAAGTCAGCTTAAATTTGCCTCTGAATTACTGTAATTCAAGATTTGGTACAGGTTTTGGTTGGGAAATGTCATGGCAAATGTATCTGAGAGGGGCAGAAGGCATATAATACTGTGGTATACTTCTTAAGGGACAGAGGTCTTAAAGCCATATATTTATGCATGTCAGCTACTTGCTAATGCTGATAGAGTTGTGTGTTAATTCAGCTTGTGAGATTTCAGCTTCTGTGGCTTTCCTGGCAAGGAAAACTGTAGCATTTTCCCAGCACACTGCTGGCTGCAAGTCTGCAGCTTTCAAAGCTGGATATGCTCTTCCCCGTGGTGCCTTTTGCACTGCACACTATTGTTTCTGCTTTACTTGGGGGTTCTGAAGGCATCTATGTATTTTGTCTTCTACAGGAATCAGTAAAGCTCTGCCACATTATAGAGCTGATGATTTGCCCTGAGCTTCTCCTGTAATTTTTCACTGCTTTCTCTCTCCACTATAAAAATCCCTTCAGGCAGCCTTTTGCCTGATACTTGATATCCAGATCTCGCTAAGAAAATGTTCAGGAAAATGACTTTTATCCTAAATGGCTTTCACTTTCAACTAAAATAACACCTGTACACTGTCTTAAAAAGAAACTTAGCCATTTTTTTTTCTTTTGTAATTTCAATCACAGGCTTCTTATCTGAACTGTGCTTTTTCCTCCTTTTCTTCACAAGAGCTTTCTTATTATGCTTAGTATGCAAGGATGTAGTTAAGTTCCTCTGGTGACTTAAATGTGAGCTTCTAGGATTTATGGTCTTTCTTCTGTGATGACTGTAAATTGCCCATTGACATGGGAAAGATTCATGGGCCTTGAATATGTCTGATTATGTTTAACATCTGTGAGGCTGCAGATAAAGTCACACCACAGTCCCTCTAAGTACAGACCAAAGTCTCTGGGTAGGCAGAGATATACAGTTGCAATAGATTCACAGTAACAGATACATGGCATGACCATCACTTTCTGCCACGATTAGAAATAACTCCACAAGTGCAAAATACTCTGATACGTTAAAAAGCTGAAGTATTTACCAAGTTGGTCAATGTCATTTATTTCTGCATCCCTTCTCTGTCAGTGTAGTGACTGTAATTTACTGCATATACACTGACTAAAATAGTGAGGTTTCACCCTGGCTACTTCTTGGGTGCTGTTGGAGTATTAAATGGTTAATAATAGTTATATTTAAGGAAATAATAGATTCAGTTGACAAATGAAAATAAGACTTTCTGTCAGTGTAGCAAGTTGTCGTGGTTTAAGCCCAGTCGTAAATCAGAACCACATAGTCTATCTCTTACTCCCTCCCCCTTCCCCCCTGTTCCCGGAGGGATGGGGAGGAGAATCAAAAGAATGTAACTCCCATGGGTTGAGATAAGAGCAGTCAGTAACTAAGGTATAACACAAACCACTACTGCTACCACCAGTAATAATAAAGATAAGGGAAATAACAAGGGAAGAGAATACAACTGCTCACCACCCACTGACCGATACCCAGCCTGACTGAGCAGTGATCTAGCCCCTCCGGGTATCTGCCCCCAGTTTTACATCCTGAGCATGACTTGCTGAGGTATGGAATACCTACCTCTTTGGCTAGTTTGGGTCAGGTGTCCTGTCTCTGCTTCTTTCCGGCTTCCTCTTCTCACTGGCAGAGCATGAGACTCAGAAAGTCCTTGATCAGACTAAACATTACTGAGCAACAACTGAAAACATCGGCGTTATCAGCACTGTTCCCAGGCCAAAAGTCAAAACTGCAGCCTTGCACCAGCTACTAAGAAGGAGAAAAATTACTGCTACTGCTGAACCGAGGACACAAGTACAGTCTGATATCTGACAATTTATCATTTCTGTATGCATTTTCATCAGGACAAAATATAAGTGGAAGTTGGCTGGCAGTTTTGCTAATGGTGCAGAAGGAGTAATAAAATCTAATGTAGGAAATGTTGTATATAGTCTTGGAATGGTAGCAAAGTTTAAAACCTGAAAACTTTGGATTTAAAGAACTCATTGTTCCTGTGTTATCCTCTACATCTAAGCACCTAGTTAAGATCTCTTTGAAAAATAAAACACTTTTTTGATACAGCTCAGCTCTAGTTACAGCTTTGTGTTTCATTTTCAGTGTTATTTCCTTCAAAAATCTGATTTTAGCACTCACTGTCATCATAATTCCTTCTTTTCCAAGCATAGTGAGGTTGAGAAAAAAAGTGCTTTACAGAAACCTTATCTGTTTGTATTGGGATGATACCAGCAGTGTAGTAAGATTTTTATTCCTAGCCATCTGCCTCTTTCATTAGCATGGGAGCAAACAGGGAGCAGCAATGGGATTTTCTTTGGTTTTCCTGCATCTAAACTTTTTGACTCATGTGTTCCAACTCCCACACCCTTTTTGTCTCCAGCAAGTTAACTAGCTCTTTCATTATTTTTCTGTTTGTGTCCCTTCTATCTAATTTAACATTAGTAGGGATAAAAATAGTGATGGAGCAAAGAGGGAGACCGAGTTCTCCCCTGCTATTTGAGATCTCAGTCTAACTGTGCTGCAGTGTGTTTCTTGCACTGAAAACTTACTTGAATTACCTTACATTACTTTTCTGTACATTTCTTTGCTATTTAAACTCTTCAGCCCTCCATATATCAGGCATACCTCCTCTGTTTCTTAATATTTGTTGGTTTGCTTCTGCTTCTGCAACTTTCAGTTGCAATCTGATGTTTCAAGCTATGGGAATGTCACCAACAGAATGTGAGGATGAGTGCAACAGGTGATGCCATTTCTCAGTAATCAGCTCCATCGTCAGAGCTTTAATTTCTCATAGGCTAATGAACTGCATCTTTAAAAGCATTTTTCATTATGAACATGTTCAGAAAGAGATGATCAATGTTGACATGGAAGCTGTCCTTTAAAACAGAAAAAAAACCCACAACAACAACCCACCAGAAAATAGGGCAGCACAAAGACTTTCTCTCTTGCATGCTTTATGAACTAGGCTATGATTCAAAAGATATCTATCATCATATTGGTATTGTAAAGCATTTACCAAATGACCTTATTTGCAGAGTTGTATTTGAAATACCTCAATTTGGGCACTAAAACTGAAGGCACCCAAGAACCATTGACTGTTTTTTCAAATCTTGGTCTTCTAAACTTAACTTCAAAGGACAAACCCACAAACTGCTGTTGTGTTGTGATGCATTGTGTTTTGCTTGCACCTATGCTGGCAGGAATATTTTTCCATAAATATCTCCAAAGAGGTTGTTGGCATAAATATTGTCAGTAATTTAGTCAGCAGAATGTTCCTCTTGGTGTGATCGTAGAACCACAGAATCATAGAATGATGGATTGGAAGGGACCTTAAAGATCTAGTACCAAATCACCTGCCACAGGCCAGGACACTCTCCACTAGACCAGGTTGCTCAAAGCTTCATCTAACTTGGCCTTCAACATTTCCAGGAAGGCAGCCACAGCTTCTCTGGGCAACCTGTTCCAGTGTCTCACTACTCTCACAGTAAAGAATTTCTTCCTAATGTCTAACCTAAATCTACCCTCTTTCACTTTAAAGCCATTCCCCCTTGTCCTGTCACTACGTGCCCTTGTAAAAAGTCCTTCTGCAGATTTCTTGTAGGCCTCCTTTAGATATCGAAAGACTATTACAAGGTCTCCCCTGAAGCTTTCTCTTCTCCAGGCTGAACAAGTTGCCCAGTGATTCACTGTAGCCCTGTAAACTACTATTCTACCATTTACAAGGATGAGAGTCGTTCAGCACATTGTCAGATGTGTGCAGATGAGTTGTGCTCTCATCAAAGTCCTCTGCTAGCTTCCACTTCTGGTCATACCTTCCAAGGCAAACGAAGCCCAGTTTCCATGATCCTTGTCAGCTGTTTGGCAGCCCAACCAGTACATGGAAGTAATCAATGGGCACAAATGTATTTCCGCACAAGATTAAGGTACTGAAAAAAATGGCTTTAGCTCTTGTATATTTTTGTAACACTCATCTTTAATCACTGGCTTTCTTTTCTGATAGTCATAATGCGTGGTGTGTTTTGGTTGGTTTTGCTGTGGGTCCAATTTAGAAAATTACTATTAAACATTGAGCAGTGAGTCAAAATGAAGAATTTATTCAGAATTTCAAATGGCAGGTCTCTCAGGCACCTTCGTGTTTCAGAAAACTCCAGCATAATCTTTGCTCATCTTTCAGGTGAAAAATGAAGGCCAGTGTCCTCTCTATATTTAATTCTCATGATCTGCTAGACAATTGTTAACTCTTAGGAAATTTTGGTCTTCTTTTTCTTAATAGAAATAATTTAATTCACAAAGTAGAAATGCTTCTAATTTTTTTTTTGAGGCACTGTAGTATCCAGAGGCAAAATTACATTAAAAAACCCCATGGGTAAGATGGTGCAATGACATGAATGACCAGTAGATACTTCAGCTTGAAATATATTTGATTTATTCTTTTTAATTTTAATAATAAGATTAATGCAGTAGCCAATTTATTGACTTCTCTCAATGCCACAGGCAAATGCTTGAAATCTCAATATCTGAACTGAGAAACACTGTCACAGAATTGGAAAAAAGACTTAGCAGTGTTGAAGATGAAGGTAAGTGAATTACACCAGAGTCTTGCTGACTGAGTAGAAAACTAATTCGTTTGGGAAGGCCTTAGAGAGATACATATTTTTATTTAGAAATTTTAATTTTCCCTTTTCAAACATGACTGTCATAGGTGAGAAGTTGCAAATGTGAAATTAAGAAATGCTGCATGCTACCATGATAGTTTTTTTTGGTTAATTATTTATGAAATTATGAGCAATGTGAATTCATTAAGTTGGTTAATATTCTGGCCACAGTAAGCCCAGTGAAAAATTTCCTTGATTTATATTTTCAAGATCTTTTGTATGCAAAGATCCTCATTATGAGGATTACTAACTGGAGACTTTCTCCATCTCCAGAAAAAGAAATGGGAACAGAATTTGAAAAAATGCTAACTTTTGCTTGAAATGGCATAAAGTAATCTGGGAAATAAAATAAGCTGTATTTGTTTTTAAGGTAATGAATGGAAAACCAGATGCGAGACACAAGTAGAATGGAACAAACATCTGGAAAGGCAAATTAATATTCTTCAAGACGCGATGGAGCTTATTTGTAGAAATCCAGCAGGTAGAAACGGGCTTTTGTAACTGTTTTTCAATAAAAGTAGTGATTATATGTTGAAATTATATAAATGGAACAAATTTTCTGCTTATTTGTAGATAAATTGTCCACTGTTCACACCTTTGATCAAATGTCTGTGGTGAGTACTTGTCATGGTGTCATGTGTTTCAGTTTGTGCCCATTGCCTCTTGTCCAGTCACTGGGCACCACTGAGAAGAGTCTGGCTCCCTCTCCTTCATTTCCGCCCATCACATGTTTATACATAGTGATAAGCACCCCCGGGCTTCTCTTTCCCAGGCTGAACAGTCCCAGCTCTCTCAGCCTCTCCTTATGTGTCAGATACACCAGTCCCTTAATCATCTTTGTAGACTAGCTGCTTATGCTTACACAAGTGTTTCCATGTGACACTTTTGTGCTTCAGATTCTGAAGATTAATGGGAGTTTACTGAGCCTAGAAGAGGCTGCATGCTCTATTAATGGGAATGATAATCTGTTGTAAGCAGGGAGTGAATAATTAACTACTCTTTCTGATCTGATTCATGGCTTTCAGATAGTAAACATTCTTGCCATTTTTACTACTGTCCTAAAAATCATGGAATTTTCTAGGTTGGAAGAATTTTATTTCCTTTAAAAAAAAAATTAAAAACCTTATTAAAAAGAGAATAAAATCTTTCCTTTCCACTTTCCTATTTCACAGAGTTCATTTCACATCTGAGATTATGTTTGAAGAGAAGTCTTGAAGAAAGAACATTGATCTAGAAAATTTACAATATGGTCGGCTTCAGACAATGTTATTCCTGTCCACCTGTAAGAGGCAGACACAGACTGACAAGCACACTTAGAGTATCAGAAGTCATTATTTTCATCCAATTGCTAGCATTCTGTTAACCAATTCAATTACACCTTGCCAAGCATTCCAAGAGTCATTACCAGGGAGATAATTTCCTTTACCAGCAGCTGGATCACACCAATCCAGTGCATTTCTAATTCTTGCTGAATTCCTCCTTCTTGCCTATGGTTCTAAGAGGTTCGATTACTGTTCCCATAAAGGAAAGAGTGTCATCAAAGCTGGAAGATTCATGCTGCCAGAAGGAGTCTAGTAGACAATTTGGAGAGTCCTAGGCTTAATGACACCTAGGGAAGTCTGGAGCGTATGTGCCACACCATAGGTTTTTCTTCTGAAGTTTGAAGCCCTTCCTTCAGCCTTTCAGCTTAGAATGAATACAGTCTTGTGCTTGTCAGCCTCGGGGAAAAAAGTGCTTGGGGATTTAGTGAAATGTTTCATTTTTCCTTGTTATGATTTTTGAGAGCTGGAAAGAGGAGAAGAAAATAGATGTGTTTTTTGGGTTTTGCTGTTTTTATTTCACTGAAGCTATCAGAAAAGTCTGTGTACTTACAGATATTCCTGGAGAATGTAGAGCTGCTTTTTTCTTTTAAGAGATAAAACTCTGGTTAAAAAAAATGCACAGATAATTTTGTGGTGTTTAACCATATAGGTTTATCCAAATCCTTTTTATGTTTTTGAGAGTTGTTCAAAAGAGTAGGGGTGAATATTTAGCTTCTCCACAGATGAGAATAAAGAGCAGATGTGGTGAGTGGGTGTAGAAAAACAAAGAGCTTTGCAGCCAGTCATCAATCTACACTTGCTGAAAGTAAAAATGCTGAGAGTTGGTATATATAAAATCGTCTGTGTGTGCTAAATCAAAAGTACACTATGATATCCAGCTTTCAACTTTCAGTTGCATACGAATAGGAATATATTCCTATATAAATAGGAATATATATTTGCAATGCATATTGTGTATGAAAATTTCTTCACTGAAAGGGTTGACAAACACTGGAACAGCCTGCCCAGAGAAGTGGTGCAGTTACCACCCCTGGAGGTATTTAAAAAATGTATAGATGTGGTGCTTAGGGACATGGTTTAGTGGTAGACTTGGCAAGTGCTAGGTTAATGGTTGGACTTAATGATCATAAAGGTCTTTTGCTACCAAAACTATTCTGTGATTCTATGATTCTGTGATTCTATGAAGCTCTGTGGAAAGAGCAAAGTGATTCCTCCAGCAAGATGGTACAATTTCTATAATATGGCAACAGGAGATGGTAGATTTTTTTTTCGAGCAACATATTTAGAAAATTTAATAGTATTTTCAAGTCTTCTTAAGGTATGTTCCCAAGGAAATTAGAATTATGCAGTTAGAGTTATTAGACAGACCTCTAATATTTATAACTTCCTAAGCAATTTCAGCTGCATTTAACAGAGGAGATAACTCAAAGATACTGAAGAGATTAATCTCACTCAGCTAGTCATTTATGGTCCTACCCTAGTCAATAGAAGGAAAAAAACCTGTGTCTGTAGAGTAATTCATCCCATTGAGAGATAGGTAGCATAAAATATTTTCTCCATATCAAGCAATACAGGGAAAATAAAAAAAAGATTAGTCATCAGGGACCCTGGCAGTCAGCAACCTATAAAAACCTGAATGAAAGAGAAGAATACAAATGCAAATTCTGGAGTGATGAACAAGGAAGCACAGAGGATTTTCTGTGTTGATAGATTGCAATAATTGTTGCAGATGGCTTGCACTGTTTTGCTTTAGAAATAAAATCTTACTGATGAATGATTCCTTGCTATGAAAACACCCCTATACCATTTAAATATACAATTATCATTCTTAAGGCCTTATACTGACTTGAGGTAAAACTTTCTTTTTTGTTGTTTCAAAAAAATAATGTAGGTGTCACTTGACTGTAAATGTAGAACCAATACCTTGAACACACAAATTTTTTACAGCCAGGGTTTTGAAAATCATTTTTGTGTACTGAGGACAGATTAAAAATAACCTAAACAGTGACAAGCACAAGGGAGTTCCAACAGTGATAACTGTTTAGTCAGCAATTTCCTTTATGTCCCAATGAATAATACAAATGTCATACAGTACTTCAGAAATAATTACAGAAGGAATGCCTTCTCTCTGAAGTATAACATGATGTGGATTTACTTGCCTCTTAAACAGGTTGCATTCATGAGCATTTCTTCATGAAATGAGTTTTGGTGAAATACATGCTCTTTGCTAAGTGTAATTTCCCGTATAAGCAGAAAAAAAAATTATTCCTTTCTCTCCCACCATTTCTGCAAGAAAGAATCCCTAGATAGCAGCTTTAGTATGCAAATACTGAAAGGCATACTGCAAAATTAGTTCAGAAGAGCACACTCCTGATAGCATTGCCTTAGCAACGCTGTAGTTAAAATTAGCCAAAGAACCAAGGTTGCTGTCATAAATCACCATTTTCAGGAATGTCCAGCATCATAGCTGGGAAAATTGTGACATTAAGGGCCAGATACTTGTTTTGCATAGCTGCCTTTCTGAGAGCACAGTGACTACAGAGCTGAGACCCTCACACAGCCACCTCAGGGTTTTTTCTGTCAGTTTTAAACTCAAAGCAGAATGTGTGGCAGTGTCACACTGGAGAAGGCGTTGGCAACCTGACAGGAGGGGATCTTGGGTTTATGAGAACACATAGTAAAGACTTTGTATTTCAGTAGGTGTTAATAACTGCCTATAGGGAACATCAGCACTTTATAATGGCATAGGAAATGTTTACAGCTCTCCTAGCAAGTGACTGTCAAATGAACCTTTTTCTTCTTGCTGGATTAAGTCACCAGTAGCTTTATGGGAAGAAGAAATCAGGTATTCTATCTTTTAATGAAACTGAATTTTGGAGTATTTTGGAGAAAGTTCTATAGTCTGATCTGACTGCCCTAAGCTGTATCCTACCTCCTCACAGACTTCCCTTACCTCCTTTTTGTCAGGTGACCTCAGACAAATATTTTGGATGTTTCCAAGAGACCTTTTTGATTTGCATTTGTTATGTTGGCATTAGTTGTTCCTCCTGGTGGTGTCACACAAACCAACAGGCTATTTTACTCAAATCACTTTGTGGTATTCCCAGAGGCAGAATACACTTTGTATTTCAAAGAAAACAATCAGGGAAAAATCTTGCAGTCAGGTGACATTATTATCAACTGGCTGTTTTCAAGAATTCCTTAGCAATTAACTGGGACCCTGCAATATCGTCCAGAAAAAAAATGTATAAGGAAGCAATGTCCAGCCTTTTTCAGGCCTACCGGGAGATACACTACATGAAATGTTTCAGAGTCAACAAGTTGCTCTGTTAATCTGAACCACAGCAATGGAGGTATCTCTTTTAAGTTCCTCCTCCCCAAGCCAGCAAGTAACCTCTATGAGAGACCAGAGACCGGATTACATAAGGATTTAGGGTAGCAGTGTTCCACACCTATTACACTGAAGGAGCCTGAACTTTTCACCAGGTCGCCAGGCTGATTTCTTTTCACTGAACATTGCCAATGTCTGGTGTGAAGAAGACATTGCACGCGCGTAGTTCAGCTCTCGATCTGGTTTCAAACACAAAGATGATGCTAACCACAAGGGGGCACTTGGCATTTAGACAAGTACAGGAGCCTTTCTTCGCCTGTACTGAAGCCCTTCTAGGATCTAGCATATGTACATCTCGAGTGCATATTGCTAAGTATTTTTTATGTGTAATTTTTGCAGTTATATATTTATAGTGAGTTTATCAATATAAGATTAAGCTTAATTTTCAAATTAAAGCTGTGGTATTGCTTTTTGCTCTTGATGAGTTTAAAATGATCTGTTGAAAGATTCAGTTAAATCAGCTGATGAACATCAACTCCTAGTGCTGGAGGGAAGGGAGGTTATTTTCTATACAAAACTTCATTTGATTTAAAATGTCAAGTAGAATGGATTGTGAAGGCTTTCTGTGTTCTTGGGTTGTTTTTTTTTTTTTCTACAGGACTGACAGATATATTGCTTCTGTTCTAACTCATGAAGAAATTTAAAGAGGATTAGAGCTGAAGCAGGTTGCCATAAGGATCAATAGTCTACATGAGCTGAGCTCTTATGAAAGCAAGTTTGAGCCTCCTGATGATTTGTCACCTTGTTTGCTGTGAAATGATTCCCAGAAATTGTCACCTCTATTGCCACTTGTAGCCAGACAAGGAAAGACAAGGAAAAATCCAGAAGGAGAGCAACTTATGTGGGTGGCCTTAAAATTCAGCTGCAGTATCATTCTGTATAATTTGATTTTCTGGCAAGT